TAAGAATCCCCTATAGGAAGTTATAAATTCTCACCATTTACTTTTAACGAAAAAACTAATTCCCATGTACACACAGAAAAATATTATTCTATTGCTAAATAAAATGATTACTCAGTTTACTTTACTTCTTTAAGGTAACAGTTATCTTTAACAAATTTTAGAAATACTCATTATCATGTACTCAAAAAAGTAAATATTTTCTTTTGAAGAATATTATAAAATTTTATGGAAGAAAAGTCAGATATGGTTAATTTAATGTAAGAAAATTTATTAGATCAGAAAAATTTAATGTATTTCTTTCAATTATATAATTTAATATTCTTGATTGAAGTATTAAATTTATTAGGATTCAGAATATATTTTGAATAAATTTGATGCTTATGATAAACTTATGATAGATTTGCGGATATATAAACTTTTGAAATACTTGAAACAAGTAATATTTACTTGTATATAGTATGTATTTTTCTGTGTGTAGTTGTTTATCGCGTGCAAAGAAAAATCTACCGGAAAAAATATGGTATCGATTACCTAGCTAATAATATCGCTGCCCTAATTCGTCCCTAACGCCTTCCCAGTTATCGTTTAACCATCTCACGGGTCTACAAGAGTCAAAGTAATCTACATTCGACCTATTTCTCTCTCCATGTATTTTAACCACGTGAAAACCTCAGGCGCGTTTAGCGAGTCGTGTGAATGACGCTAAGTTGGAACACAGCGTGGCAAATCTCACCTAATTCTGAAACACGTGACAAGAGAGGAGCGCGGTGACAACGATGAAATTAAAATTAACCTTTTGCCGAAGAGAACGGCGAATGAGCCGCTATTTTTACGTGCACCTTCCGGATGTTCCCAATTTTTTTTTCATCGGTTCGATCCGATGACTCGCTCGACCAAAATTGCATCGACGATAATCGCGCGGCCGCTTATCACTGTTTATTTAAAATGTATGGCGAAGGCCACGAGCGACATCGAATCGGATTTTACGTGGCTCGGCTTTATTATTATTGCGGCATGCAATGATATTATGCGGCTACGGGGAGCGGAAG